TTAAATTCAGTTTTCTCATATAGCATCAATTCAGGACACATTTCATCTCAAGGCACTTTACACAGACAATTTAATTATATTGAATGGTTGGCCTTTGCAGCATTGTGAAGTGATACAGCGGAGATACAAATGGAACAGAGTCTTTATAATGTATTACTACATTGTCTGACAATAATCTGCTAAAGTAAAAGCTTCTTTTTAGGGAGGAGAACGCTTTTAAAGTTGAAGAGTTGAAGGTTACTCAAAAATGGTCAGGAAGGATAGGGTTCTTAGATAAATGCATTCACAGTCAATGCCATCTGTCAGCACAAGGTCTAAAGTATGAAGCTGAGAATTTTGAACAAAGCGAATCAAGTCAAACCTATCACCTTCATTCTCAGCATGGATGTTAAAATCCTTCACTATAATGACCTTTTCAGTATGTAACACTAAATCAAATTATAGTCTAAAAACTAATTTAGAAATTTAGATTAATGACCTATTTGATTATACAAAAATTATGCTTTACAATTTGGAAACTAAGGTTTAAATGTTCAAATGAAATCTAACTATTAACTGGCCAAGGACTGATCAGTAAATCAGACTGAAATATTTTTGCTACTCGTTTTTTGCCCAAAATGTTTGGGCATGCAAAAATTTAAGTAGCTAGAGGCCATTGCCTTATTTATGCCAACATAAACCTCTTGATGCAGCCAGGTTTCTCTAAGACAACATAAATCTATTTGATTATCGCAGAGCAAATCATTGATTAACACACCGTTTTAAGAAAGAAATCTTACATTTTTCCCTTTTTTTCTAAACTGGAGTCACTTTAATTTTAATTAGGTTATCAAGATTTACTCCTTTATGATTTTTTTTCTGATTTATACGATTTTGACCATGGGCTAGACAATGTCAGGTGGGGTAATGGCTGGGAAACAGCAGAGAATGAAAATATGTTTATAAAAAGTTATAGTATTTTGCTCTAGAGGATGTGTTTTTGAAAATCACTTCACAGGAAGCTTATTTAGTTGAGATTATAGGTGCCTTTTAAGCACCATCATATCAGGATATGTTTTCAGCCTGATTATAAGTGTAAAACTGCTAAACAACATTTCAGGTATTATTTATATGTCTTAGACTTGAGTGTAAGGTATCATACAGTATATCAGATAGATATTATTACACAGAGAAGGAAAGCAAACAAAGTGTTGTTTAGAGTGATAAGACCTGTTGTCAATCTCTTGTCAGCAAGGTCAGTCTTTGCTTGAACTGGGTCAGTTTTGATTAAAAATAGCTCCGGTAAGGCACTGGGGAGGTCTCCATCTCTGTCTTCTTCTGTCAGTCCTTGGTTGTGTGAATACCACAGGAAATTGTTTAGATGCCTTTGACTTCTTTAACAATCTTTGTTTCAGTTTAGTCTCAGATCAATTCAAATAAAATTGTGTTGTTGTTTACTGATTCCTACTGTATCAAAGTTAGTTAAAGCCAAGGCTTATTTAAGACATCCATAAGTTCTTGTTCTTGATAAAGGAAGAAAAAAGCAAAATCCTTAACCTTTAGATGCTTCATCTCAGTGTCAGTCATCAATAGCTAAATTGTAGGTAAATTCATATTTTTTATACACTTTTTGTGTTAATCTTTGTTTTTTTGGAAAAGAGAAATTGCTTAATTTTCACTTTATTTTGAATGGATGCTTAGTAATGACGGGGGCGCTGGTTTACACTTCCTAAATGATGACCTTTCAGCTAATATAATTGCATTTCTGTTCTTTTTTTGTAATCAAACATTACGTTCAATCAGTCATGTTATTTCAAGTTTTATTTATTTTGAACTAGTCTTTATATAGCAAGCTTGTATGTAAGTATTTGGCAACAATTATTTCACCATACACTAGCCACATTGGTTTGTATTTTCTTCCACAAATTCTTCTGGATTCTTCTGGAAAACTGAGGCCCTAAGCTTCAGGTTACACAGTAATCCACTTGTGAAGCATATTAGGATATTCCAGGAAATACAATTATTATGATGATGTTGATTTTGTTTGTTATTTTATCAAAAATCTAGAGCGTTTTAGTGTAATTTAAACTAAAAAGGAATAAACAGCTGCAGGAAATGTGTATCTTGTAATTGCTCTCATCATCTATCATTTTGCTCCACCTCTGCTGCATCATATATCTCTGCAACAAACCTGCTGTATAACACCCAGATCAGTGATAACCTGGACATCAGTATGACCTAATAGGTCCCTGGATGTTGCATACGTTTCTGTTTAAAGATATGTACACAGAAACTGTAGAAGTCAGTTATCAACAATTAGGTTTAAATATAAATAGCATTGTATTTCTTTTTAGGTAGAACTTTGAGAGTAACACCGCTCTTGAATTTGTTGCTTTCTTTGGCAGCTGAGCGTTGCAATGTCAGGACAGCTGCCACTGGATGGATGTTTCACAGAGGGGGTGAATTTCCTCAATGATGCACAAGTTGCAGCAGCAGACCACCCACTAATAATCTGGAGAAATTCACAAAATGAGCTTATGCTGTATCATAACTGGCTCCAGAGATTTCATCAACAAAAAAAAAAAACAATAGCTTTAACATTGGGGTTGTTTTTTTATGAATTGATGAGTTTATGTAGGGATAGAAATACAATTATAGCATAGCACTGATGTGCTAGGACTCGACACAAGATAGAATAAATACCAACTGTATCTTATAGTGAACAATGTTATCCTTGAGTAGCAATTATGTAATATTCAAAAGACAAGTGACTTTAAAAATGGTTAATGTTCCCCTTGCTTAGACTGTTGGGGAGAAATCAAAGCATTGGAAGAAAAATATATATTTTTCTGTTTATCAAATGAAGCTGAAGTCGGTTTGAAAGACTCTTTTTAGCTTGACCTGGATCAACTGCAATGTCCCTCGCTCAAGGTTTCACCAATCAACCAATCAGCTTTCAAGATCTCCTTCATTTAGCCTCCCTCCAGCATGCCAGCAAACCTCAACCACCTACACCCTATCTCCTCTTTTTAGGGTTTAGGGCCTCAGTTTACCGGGGGGGAGTAGTCTAAGCCATTGTCCAGGTTACTCATCTAGGTGAATGTCAATTCACAGCATCATAGTCTTTTGCCAGGGCCCAAGTGCCAAATACCTTATTTAATTTGTGTCAATAAAACTTATTTAATTCAAGCTTTTGGCTGTATGGGTCTCTCCAGGTTGAAATTCACATAAAACTGAAAACACAAAAGCCAGTTTTACTGGGAACCAGCACAAAAACTCTGTTCTTCATCAAAGCTTAAACAGTAGCGGCTCCTCAGCAAAGCTAACCCATACCCGTAAACCCCACCTCCTCCAGGCCTTTCTCCAAGGCTGGGCCCAGAGCCAGGATCATCATACTGTTGTTCAAATGTGGTAATTCTGTTGTTCTTTTAAAGGCAGAGGTCTATACTGTAGCTTGTGGTTTTGATACCATCTCATGGCAACATGTAAATACTCAGTTCAGTTAACATTTATCAGAACTGTAAATTTGAAGCATTAGTATTTCGATCAGCTGTTTGTCAGAAAGGCGTTTTCTGTCAAATTCACCAAGTAACTGACTGCATTTCTGGGTCTTTGGGGTTTTACAGTATACAAATAGTGCTTCTATTTACATCTGACATGTCTTATGAGGAAATGTGCAGATCCTTTATCTGAAAAATATAAATATTAACCAAAGCTTATTCTTTCCAATCACCTGAAACCTAAATTGTTTTTTTTTTCTTCTTTCTGTCTTTATTTTGGTCTATTTTGGGTTAATCTGTCTTCATCTCACCTTCCTTTTCTATTCACTGCTAACCTCTTTTATTTCATAAGTAAACCTTCTCTTTGGTCTTCTTTTTTATCCCTGGGATCTTAACATCCTGTAGCTTGCTATTTATTAATTTTTTTGTTAGCCGCCTTGTATGTTTAAAAATCAGTATAAGCGATGAAAACCTGATCAGTGCAGCGTCACATTACAAACATTCTAAACAGAACATTCCTCAAATTATGGGCATTAGCAAGGTAGTGGGGATTAGAAAGTATAGGCATATTAAAATGTTTTGGATGCTGTGATCTAATCATGACAATTTATCCTATAATGTATTCTGACATTAGATTGCAGCTTTTTCCACTATAACGTTTTATAAACATATTTTCATTTGATCAGTAGTGTGATGTAAACCTTTCCTCACAGAGGAAATCTTTCTAATTAATGGAGTTGAGTAATAGCTTTAGCATGGGGCTGGATACGTTTGAGTCAGTAGAGTAAGCAGAGTTAGATGTCATTATAATAGAGCTAAATCTGGTGATACTTAATCTTAACCATTACATAAATAGTACGTCAACAGAGTCATAAGAAGCAAAGCACCACAGAGCTAAATGTGGGTTGTAGATAAAAAGATAAACAGATAAAAAATATATATTTGAAGTTGTGACATATACTGTCGCATTAGTAAGGGTGTCCAATAGATGCATTCAGATTATCAGTTCTCTTCAAGGGTCTGGTTGTACTGGTTTATCTGGGCATAGGCAAAAAATATGTGAAAGAAAAAAAATGCAAAACATGAAATTATGATTCCATGCCTCAGAGTCAGCTTACACATCTAATGTGTGAAGGATTAGGGGGATGCAAGCACATGCTGATAGTTCCAAGGTTACAAAAGGCAGCAGAGGTGACCTGATTTAAGCTTTTCTCTTCAGTTTATTGCCTTTATTTGTGGCTCTAATCTTATATCCTAATTATTTTTCCACTTTCAAATATACAGTAATACTGATGGCAGGTCCTCCCCACTGTTTCTGCTGCAACACTAGCATAGTCCCCATTTTAACTCCCCATAATTATCCCAGGATGATAGCAGCCACCATGCCGTAAATGGATTTCATGTCCGGCCCATCATGGCCTTTAGCAACATTAATGCATCATTATATTCTGCTGTGATTATAACACACCTCGGATATGCTTTTAGTCCCTAATGGCTGACCTTCCCTTTTTTTTATCTCAGGCTTTGCGGTGAATCTCCAGGTGATCCTTTCCAACCCGCGGGCGCTGTTCAAGAGGCGGGGGTCTCAGCCCGGGATGCAGGAATCTGACTTCCTGAAGCAGATCACCAAGGTTTCTGAGCTGGAGCCCAAGGCCAACAATTGCACACGGGTCAGTAACCTTTGCAGCAACAGCAATAGACTTTAAAAGCACTTTTAAATTGATTATTGTACTGTAGGACAGGAATACTCACTTACATTTTGCCTAAAAGTGAAAAATATTTCAGACATATTTTGTCAATTAGTTTAGAAAACTTTTTTCCAGATCACAATAAGCAGAGTAAGAACACATAGTTACCTAAATTGTATTAATTTGGGGACAATCTTTAAGCTATACCACGCAAAAATCACTGAGTAATAATATGAAAAAACGTTTTTGTCATGTCCTTCTATCCTTGCAGGGACTTTCCATTGACTTCCATTTATTTTGCATTATTTTTTATGGCCTAACCTATCCTTTACTAACTACCTAACCCTGAACCACAGCTGTCAAACGTATTGTATAGTAATGTTTATTACTCAAGTAGAAGTATAAATCCTACCGTCTAAAATCACTTTTGTAGAAGTTAGAGTATTAACTTAAGGTTTTTACTTAAGTAAAATTGTAAAATTAATTTTTTTTTTAACTACTTAAACTATAAAAGTAAAAGTAATGGATCAAAAAATGTTAAGGACAGAGGCTTTAAACCATACAATGGTTACACTGTATTGACAACATTTTTCTACAATTCTGGTTTATAACTTCTTTATAGTTCATTTTCTAAGTTTTATAATTAATAGTAACATTGTCAAATTTATATTTGCATTATCTTGAACAATTACTTATTTTGGTGCAGTACCAATTAAGCCAAAAAGAAATACATTTTCAGGATAAAACTGATTATTTTGATGGATTTAATCTTTTTTTTTTTTAGATACTTACAGGCCATAACGAAAATTAACTTAAATGAAACAAAACTAAAGAGTAAATTTTTAAAATGTAAGGAATAAAAAGTAGAGATAATTGCACAAAAAAATGTAAGGAGTATAAGTAAAAGTTTTCAAAAAAATAATTACTCTAGTAAAGTATAGAGTTAGCCAAAAATTCTACTTAAGTAAGGTAGCAAAATATTTGTACATTTTTACTTGACAACTCTGAACCTAACATAAACTAAATCAACTTTACTACCAAACCTAACTCTCAAACCAAGCAGCAGAATGTGAAGCAGGATTTTTTGCTGAGGGCCTTCAACCCTTTATTGCATTGACACTGTCTATTTATTGAACAGACCTTTGTGAGATGAATTGTTTACATGTTTAATTAGAGCTGATTTTTGCACCAAAATACAATAAAAACAGTCTGCTTTGTGGTGCATATTTTTTTTACCACGTAAAGCTTTTCTGGTAAATGAGTCTCCATACAGTCATCTTTAAACAACATGTGAACAAACAGAAGGCAGAAACGACACTTATGTCACCACTAACACCTTAGGTTTGACAATCCAGTGCATGCTTCTGTTGGCATGTTTGAAAGTGTAGTCATAATTATTGCAGCAGTAACCAACCAAGGGGTAACTCTCCCCACTATTGACAGCATGAGTCATGATACGAGCTACTGGCACAGTCTAAACATAGACCCACACAGGCTGCATTGGACAGAAATGTCGCTGTGGCTTCATCGATTCTTGTTGTGCGCTCAGACAGCTTGGATCGATGCAGTTCATCTGAAGTCACCACAGGCCCTTTTGGCACTTGGCTTTATAAGGCCACTCATCCTCTTGACAGCCATCACAGAGCAGACTTAGAGGACTGTTTGTGAGAAATGGATCCCATTATGGTTTTTCCTTTCAAGCAACAAATGAGCCATATGTGATGGCTGCCTGCTGCTGCTCCAAATGCGTGCTGAATCTGGCAGATTAATGAAAATGCTTGATTTTTCAGAATATTTTCTCACTTATTCAATGTCTTACTATATATCCATAATAATGGATATCATTTTTACACAACTTTACCCCTTTAAAGGGAAATAAAAATATGTTTGGGTTTATTTTGCTGTTGAATAGTTATCCTCAAGCCCAAATACATCAACCGTGATTGATCACACCTCTCTAAATGTGGGCTTGGGTGGTTCTGATTTATAGAAAAACATCTCTGAATGCTGGTAACATGGTGTGTGGGTTTGTTTTTTTCACTTACCATGAAGTCAAAGTCGATTCTTAAGCTACTTTTCATTATTTATGAGATTTACTTGATGTCTCTTTCTTCTTTTGCTTTGTTACTTATCTTTGGCTTCAATATTCCAGCTATCATAAAGCCAATATTACAATAAATAGTTACATTCTATCAGAGCAAAGATACATTAATAATGCCAGCACTCTTTGTTGTCATTTTGTTTTGTTTTTTTGTAGATGAGGCATAGTGATAAACATTAATGTAGAATCCAGCTTGTGGCAGAACAGTTAGGGATTCAAAAGAAACAAGCTCCCCTGGCTGCTGTTTGCTTTCAGTGGTTTGTTTGAAGTAACTAAAATTCAAATTTGTCAAGGCTTTTAGAGGCTTTCTGGGTTAAAAAAAAAAAGGATTTAATTTATGATGGGGGAAAGAGTTTTCAAACCATTCTGGCCTGATTTAATAGACTAACAAATGAATAGTACCCGTGTGACAACATGAAATGGGATAAAACAATGTATATAGACTGACGGAGAAATAAAGTTATTAACAGCACTAAATCTGAAAGGAGGACAAATACATTCATTAGATGTTGTCCACAGCTAGTAATGAAGAACCATCTCAGGATATCCAAGAGGGCATCAGCAGGTCATCCAGGAGGTCACATAGGAGCAGGGCTATGCATAGTAATACATGACAGGGCATCTTTATTCATACATATTGTGCTCCAGCATATTGTTTGTTATTGTTGAGGTTTGTTTTTTCCAAGGGATTGGAGTGACAGCTAAAAGCTGAAATTTAAAAAGAAAATTTGATTCAGAATTGTGCAGATAATAGTGTCAGTTTGTGGAAAATAGTTGTGAAAATACTTATGATAAAGCAATATTGGCCATAAAATAACCTGTTTTATTGTTGTTTATGTGTTTAGGGTATTTTTTGTGTATTTGAATTAGTCTGTACTAATTTTTTGATCTAAAAAGCTCAATTTTCTTTTAATGTGAATGGGGCAGATATATATGTTTTTTATTTTTTGTTCTTTTTATTTCTGATTTATTTTTAACTATTGATCATTGAGTTGACAAATTAAATGAAGTCACCGTTTCCAACTCCAAAAAAAAAAATGGATTGCACTTTGCCAGATGTCCGTTTCATGAAGCAGGTTTAATAATCATTATTTCAAATGCTTAATTCCAAATTGTTCTAGCCTAAAGTCGGGAGCTCTGAGTTTCCGGTTTCACAATGGCTGCTATGAATTAGTTCAATCACCTCCAGGTAGAATTACTCAGAGTTTAACACGTGTGTAACAAGTATGAAAAGCTATTATCAGTGGAGCCCCAATTCAATAAGTCACCATGACAACATGCAACCAGAAGTGCCTTTTCTATACCACTGGAAGTAGAGATTTTAATGAAGAAATTTAAAGAAAAATGGAGAATGTGTTTAAAAGACAGAGAAAGAGCGCTACAGCTGCAAAGGAGAGGAAGATGGCGATGGAGAATAGACACTCAAGTTAATGCGTAGGTTTATATGAAGTGTTTTTACCTTTATTAAAAGCACTCTCCTCTCTGTTGTTCCATTTGTAGATCACTAAAATAAGATTCCTACCACACTTCCAGACTGAACGGTAATAATATATTTTCTAAATTACATTTTTGCAGAAGAAACTAAATTTCGGAAAAGTAAAAAAAAATAATAATAGTAAGTATTAAGTTTTATATATCTAGCAATGTTTATACCTGATAAGTGTCCGTTTTGACATTTATCAGCTTGACTGAAGATGTATTCATGGTTTTTGAAATACAGTTCTTCATAGTCAAAATAATACAAATGCTGACCAGTAATTAAAGGAGTATAGAGACTTCCAGAATGTTTATTCGTCAAACTCACATGCAATGGTTGTTAAAAAAAAAAAGTGTGTCTAATGACCTAGTAAATTATTTTTAATCCAACAAACTATGACAGAAATCTCTGGACTCAATCAGGAAAAAGAAAAAAAAAAACAACATGATTGGCTGTAAGGAGAGCAGAAACAGAGAACACTCAGAGTTTACAGAAGAAAACCTGCTACCGACCAGGTTAGATCTGGGGAGGTTGAGGAAATTCTCTTTGTGAAATGTAAAACTCAGTTTCCTATATTCAGGTTTAGAAAATAGAGTTTTCAGTTAACATGCTTTGTGAAACGGACCCCATCAGGCATCTACCCTAAAACCTAAAAGGGAGCGAGGGGAAAGGAGACAGGCACAGGAGGGCAACAGAGAGTTACTCAAAACTGCGTAAATATAAACGGAAAATAAACCAAAGATCAACAAATAAGAATGACATAGATACTGAAAACTCAAAGTCCAAAAGGGAGAACCATAACAATTTGAGCACAAAAATTATAACAATAGGAAAGTTAAATCAATATTTAAAAAATCCCAAACTGTTTCTCAAACAGGATCAACAAACGGTATAGATAGAAAGGTTTGTTTTTTACTGCTATAATCAGATCTACATATCTGATCAGAGGAGATACATAAGGACGAAATAAAAGCAGAGACACACAAAGCTCTTTAAGAGCTGCTAATTCCTGAGAGTGGAAAGTGAGAAAATCTTGGTAGAAATATTTATAACAACAGCATAAAAACTGGAAAGTTTGAGGGTCTTTCCCACACAGGTCATTTTTCCTCAGTGATGCGTCACTCATGCCATTCTGTGTTTATGTGATTGGGATATCATTTCAGTTAAAAAAATACATGACCAATTCCAAAGGGAAATTAAATAAAAGAAACACTTCCACTGACAGGCTAACAGTTTGAAATTAACAGCATCACAATTATTAATTATTAGAGCGTATCTCTGGCTGCAGACAGATTCTGACTCTGACAGCAGCTGGTCCTCCACCAGCTGAGGGTTGTCAGTTTGGCTCCCACTGCGTGTGTGTGGATCGGTTGACCCACATTATTAATTTCTTGGAGCTTTGTG